TTACTTTGGATGCTCTGAAGGGTCTCCAACACAGGAAATCCAAACTATTCAACCACATACTGGAGTGCAAGGCCTCTGTTTAACATTTGAGAATTCCTTTATAAAATTTTAATAAAGAAGGAATTGTAACACCTGGTCTTGCAATCCTCATTCAAGTACTCTTAAGTAATGCTTGGGCCAGCTGTAAAACCAGAAACAATTAAGCTGAATCTGTAAAAGTCTGGGTATTTCTATTAGACTTCTACAAGACTCTCACCAAACTGAAAGAGGCCATCAACAATTTTTCTCAACCTATAATTTTTACTTATTCATAACATTAAACAGCCAAAAGTATACTCATGCATCTAATGATCATTCATCACATATCATCAAAACCTCCAGCTAACCAAATACCAAACAAGTATTAAAAAAAAAAAAAATCAACAGAACTGCTACGATGCAACTAAATTATGAGGCTAGAGTTAAATATTTAGGTCAGGTTTTTATATGAACTGCTTCTATTCATCAATCTGAAAAAGCTCATCTGTTGTTTAAAAGTTCGCAAAGGAAAAGTCCTAAAATCCTGCAGCATTCAGTTTAAAGCTCAGTAACAGAAGAACGCTTTTTAGCCTCCCTTCCTTTAGCAACTGTTAAAAAACCATACATATCTACATATATATATTCTCATTCCTTATTCATGTATGAAGGAGAGCTACTGAGAATCAGCATATTCATCATCTGAATAAAACATTTGATACTGGTATCCATCAAGTTTTACAAACGTTCCAGCTGTAATATTTTTTTTGTCATTGACTTGACCTCAGTACACAGGGCAATAGCTTTGTTGATGCTAACAGACATTTTCTAAATGGTAACTTTTTTATTTTCAGTTTATTTCCAATACCAAAAGAACAGCATGACTGGTTGGCATGGATGATGGCTATCAACTGTGCCTTAGAAAATATTCCCTAAGAGGACAAAAAAGCATCCATGTTTTTTCTACAAAGTTTTTCAAAGCAAAAAGTTTCAAGATCTAAGTTCTCTGCCTCAAAAATCAGGTAATCTAAACATAACTTATTCATTTTTACCAAAAAATTCTTAACAGTGGCATATTTTCATCATTTTATCTTGCTCCTAGTCCTGGACAAATCAACACAGCACCTAAGCAATTTATTAGAGATACAACAAGCTTTAAACTTAATGATTCTCCCAAACTCCATAGGCTGTCCAGAATCAGTTGCTGCCTTTGGGTGTAGTTTTGTTAACAACTCCTGTTGTTTACTTGGAAACCTTCATAACGTGCAATGTTTCTCCAAAAGCACCAATTAAAATCGAGAGACCGTATGTTTTCCTGTTGAATATCAAAAAAGCCAACTAAATAGGTTCTACCACAACTCTTTCCTGTGTATCTTAGATAAAAGCCCTTGACCTTGATTTGTTTTGACGTGTTGTGACTACTGCCTTTCCCCGCTCACTAGTACTGATCTCACTGGTCTTTGTGGTTTTCATGCCCGCTTGTGTCTCCTAGGTCCATTTGCTGACTCTCCACCAGCTTATAAGGCACTTGGGCAGGGAACATCTTTTGATAAAAAAGTACAGCACCTAGCACAACAAAATATCCTCAGTCATTACCTAGGTTTCTAAGCATTAGGATGATGATGACTATTACAAGAAGTAATATGTGAGATCAATATTTTAAAAAAATTACCAAGAAAGATAAGGATTTTGTTGTTTTGCTTTTTTGCTACAAGTGTGTCATTTCCCTGCCTCACACCTGTAGTGCTGAAGATGTGCTGTACATTCAAACTACATTACCATTTATACATTTTAGCTATCCTGTAACACCTTGCTTAGATGTCAATATAGTGTTATAAATACTACATGTTATTATTTCACATCCACCTGCAGTAAGAGACCGCACCCTAAAACCAGATGCATTTTGCAAAGACAGTAGAAGCCCCCCATCCCAGGAGGAGTCCTAGCAGGGTGGGCAGCAGCCCAAAGCAGCGAAGTAACAGTGATAATGAAACAGATGCAAAACTGTGACAAAACTGTTGTCAGCTTTGTCTCTTCTGGATCCCCAGAAAGTCTGGTCTCACTGCTGCTATTCCTGTGAGGGGGAGAGGAGGAAAAGAGGAGGGTGTACAAACCACATGATGAGGCCAGGACCGGCCACGACCCTCAGCATTCCACTAACCCAGAGCATAAAGCCTGGCTACTCTCAGAGGCTTCTCCCACCCATAGCCCCATTCCTCTTCCTGCCACTTCAGCCATTTATCCCTCACAGCAAAATTCATTCCGTTCATAAGGCAGAAAAACCTTAAGCCAGCTCTGCACCCATGTTTAATTTTAAGACTGTAAGATTACAGCTGCTAGCAACAGTGGAAGTCATCACAGGCATGGTGTTTGCAGGATTCTATGATTCTACAATTAACAGTTTGCCTGACTTTTTAAGCACACTTTTTAAAAATAAATCTGGATGAGAACTGAAAGAGGGAAATCAGACAGGAATTAAAGACTCAGAAACAGCAGGGAATCCCAAATTATTTGGACATGATTATTCGGACTCCAACTGTGTTTGGACCACGTCCAAATTACAACCTAATCCTAAAAAGACTTAAGCAAATAGCCATTTTAGAACTCTATATCCTTAACTTTGAGACGGCGTGTATAAATGTTCATAGGTCTTAGCTTAGCTTTGATGTCCCTTAATAGAGGGACCACTATCATCTCATTTATCTTCACACCAAGCACACTGTAACTTCATAAAGAAATCAAAATGCAATGAAATGAAATAAGAAATATGGCTAGATATCAGCAAGCACCAACCTCTAGAAAACAAGAAAAAAAATCACAAACAAACAAAAACCAAGGAAAAAAGGTCTTACACAGGCTAATTCTTAACTGGTTCTTTCTTCTAAGAAAGACCCTTTAATCCTAACCTAAATTCTTTCATGTTTAGTTTATTAACTTAATGCCACTGTTGCTACAAAAGTATTTATAACTTTTGCTTGGAAATGTAAATATGGGCTATTTTTGAAGTGCTGAATCAAGAAATGCACCTCACGCAGATACATCTTATCTTTTGTTTTTCTGTGCTTAAAAAAAAAAGAAACTGATCAAGAGACAGCCTCTCAGGAGAGGTACTCAGTCTGCGTGGCAGTGCTGCTCTATAATTATTCTAATTGGCTCAAGATTTCTTTATTAATGTTTCCATGGAAATCCTGGCTGTAATAGCTGCTTGCAAACGGAGTCTATTTTTGGTGGCTTAAAAGTATCAGGATGTCTCTTAAACTTGTATTTGTGCATTGTGCCTTTCTTTGTTTTAAGGAAAGTGAAAAACAGCTGCTGCAGATGCTGAAACAGGCAGGGGCGAAGGTGACAAACAGGGAGAAAACTGAAGAAATACAGAGAATCAGGTGAAAAACCTAAACGCAAACCCACCAACTCTGTTTTCCCCCACAGCCCTTCATGATGTGGTGGACTGTTTTGTCCTCTAACATTTCATGGAAGTTTATTTACTCCTGGGCCACCAACATCTAAAATGTGGTCCACCACCATCTTTACCCTTGACAGGCCATAAAAAAACCTACTGATTGTAGCCTCAGTGCCCAAAAAGGAAGGAAGTATCCAGCCACTGCATGTCTCAGAGTCTCTAGATGAAATATAATACTTCTGTAATTAAAAACCTTAACAGATCTAGGGAAGATATCAATGCTTCCCCGGATTCTAGGGAAGATGTTCACTCCATTTGCCTTCGTGTCAGTCACCATCTGAGTTTAAACATGGATTAAGAAGCAGAATTACCTTGTTCCATCTTGTGCCTATTTTTGAAGTTTTCACAGTTACTGGAAGCAAGTCATTAACAGAAGGTGTGGAGGGAGAACGGGGCCCACGCCAGCAGCGGGCAGCGTCAGGGGTGTGAAATACCCTGGCCATCGCTGAGGTACCAACCCGCCGGCAGCCGGGCGCTGCTGAGGGGCAAATATCCCTCACACGAACACCACGGGGGAAATTGTGGCCCCCACCGGCTCCAGTGGGGACCGGGGCGGCGGATCTTTAAGGGCCAGGGGCGGCTGAGGGGGCTGCCTCCCTCACCCCGCGACGCGCTCCCCTCAGGGAGCCCGCCACACCGGGGACGGCCCTTCCCGCCTTTCCCGGCGCCTGCGCAGAAAGCGGGGCGGCGGGCAGGGGATGGCCGGGGGTCCCGGGCCGGGAAAGGCGGCGGTGTTGGCGGGCTTTGCCGCCGGTGCCCTCGTAGGCGTTGAGGAGGTTGTGGCAGCCAAAGTAAGCGCGGGGGAAAGGGGGCTGAGGGACGTCATGGCGGCGGCAGTCGCGCAGCAACGGGCTCAGCGGCCTGGAGCTGCCCGGGCCGAGGCGGCCGGCGGCCTCCGCCATCCTGAGAGGCATCTGAGTATCTACTCTAAATCTCCCCTCTTCCAGTTCGGAGCCATCGCCCCTCGTCCTGTCACTACATGCCCTTGTAAAAAGTCCCTCTCCAGCTTTCTTGTGGGCACCCTTCAGAGGTTGCTTATATATATATACACACACAAATATATACATATACACATATATATAAATGTTTATTTCATTAGAACTTTAAATTGATCTTTAGGGGGGTTGAGTGTGTTCTAATTACTGCCTTTAGACTAGCTCAGCAGCTATAGAGAAGCGCGGTTTTGTTACCCCCGGTGCCCGGCGGCAGCAGCCCTCCCTCCCGCGGGGGTGCCGGGACTGGCGTTTGGGGGCGCGGGTTCCTGTTCCCGTCACAGCAAAAGCCTCGGCACCCGGGGGTCCCCGGGCAGGGCAGAACCGAGGGACGGGGACTGGGACGGGCCGCGCCGGATGGGGCGGCGGCTTCCGCGGGCGGCCGGGGGAGATGGGGGAGCCGCGGCGAACGGCGGCGAGAGCGGCGGCCATGGTGGTGGTGGCGGCGGGAGCCTGTGGCGGCT